GGGTGGGCTGAGTGTGCTCTTGTCCTCGGGAAACTGGGGGTTGTAATGGTGGGGAGGCGGGGCACTGACAGGGGGACCACCATGCTGAGGGGGCGGCCCTGGAGGAGGATGGTTCATAAACGGGGGCATCTGACCAATGAGGTGTCCGGGAGGTGGGGTGATGGGAGGGGGAACGGATGACAGCGGCGGAGGGGCCTGATTGAAAACCATGTGAGGTGTGTTTGAGCCCTGTCCCGGGTGCGGCATGGGATGACTGATGGGGGGAGGGGGCGGCGGGGGGCCGTAGTGCTGCTGAGGTGGCGCCATCATGTGATGTGGACGGGTCACAACAGGCTGACCTGGATAGTCTCCAGGGTGATGGTGAGGGGGCGGAGCATTGCCAGGCTGGGGGAGGGGGTCGCGGGATGGTCCGGAGCTCGCGGAATCGTCCTGGATGGGAACCGTGATGAGGTTGCTGTGCTTCCGCGTGGTGACGGTCGAGATCCGGAAGGTCTCCTGAGCGAGAGAGCGGGATGGTCCCATGTCTCCGGGTGGTTGGCCTTGCGGAGGTCGGAGGTCATCGTGGGAGGCAGAGGGAGGCTGGCTGTAGGGGTCGTGTCCTGGATGAGCCAGAGAAGGAGGGATGAGGACATGGGGTTTGGGCAGGTGAGGTGGGGGCACACGGAAACGGTCGGTCACCTCCGAGGCTGGAGGAAGGTGGAGAGAATCAGAGCGGCTGCTGGAGCTCTTGCCGGACCGCATGTGCCGGTGGTTTATGTGAGCCTGCAGGTCTCTCTGGGACAGATAGGTGCGTTTGCAACCCTGAACGATACTACACATGTAGAGAGAGCCACGCTGGCACTGTTCAATCCGCTGGACCGGGTCTGTACAGCTGTACATGTTTAGGCTGGGAACAGAGAGGACATATGTAGAAGCAACATCAGTAAAACACTGTGCGTATTAGTACAAACTAGGGCTGGACAATATATTAAATATTTCCCACGTAATCAATTCGTAACAATGATTCAGCTTTTTTATTGCAGGATGACACAAATTTTATGAGTGGTATTTTACGGTATTTCAGTTTTGAGTACAAAATATATGTAGACAAATATTACTTTGGATGAATATGCATTGTTATATTGGTACGTGTAAATGACAATTACTATAATTGAAATATAATTTTCATTGTGGATTTTGCAATTGTCTACTTGCATAAAACATTT